TCAGTAAGCTTTTATGCTTCTAGGCGATGTTCTTCCAACAGTACATGAATCAAATGCGTTTTCCTGCCGCATTCCCTGGAATGATGACGCCGCCAACTTCTGTGGCTATGGCTCAACAGGCTGTTTATGAACAGTTTGCAGCTATGCAACAGCTGAGCGGTTAGCTTCTTCTTGTAATGAAAATTCACTTAAATATTTTTTCGATATTTGTTGGCCTAAAACTTTATGTCTGATCGTTGCTTTTCAGGCATGTATACCCCGCAGTTCCAGCCAAAGTAGGGAAAAGTTAAATTCTGTTTATCGAAAGCGTGTTATTCGTGGTTAATTTTTGCGTACGGTAACTCACTTTTATTTTATATGATCACTTTTGTCGTACGTTGTTTATTGTTGACAAAGTTGTTCTTATCCTGTAAAGCCTGTTATTGAAAAAATGCTTGAGCTGGTCTGGTATAATAGTTCTGATGCGTACTAGTGGTCAATTTTGTTTTTGATAAAGGAAATATTGGAGAAGGTATATTGTCATTGCCAATGCTTACATAGTTCTGCCAAAATTAATGAGATGCGCTATTTCTGTTACTTTTTTACTGCAATTGGTGCAGTTAGGTCACTTAGGACCGCTGGGATGCGCGTAAGCTTTGTTGTCATATTTTCAGCTATTACAGATGCGATGCTCAGCAACTGTTTCGTTAGTAGCTCACTCTCAGCATCTTGTTTGGAATCTCGATGTCCTTGAAAAAGTCCAATTCCGATTGTATATTTTTCGAATACCTTAAAAGAAGCCACGAAAAAGTCATTTTCAGAGTACATTCAGAAATATTATAAAATTGTTCTATAATGACGTTGTAGTTCAGATTTCGACGTTTTAGTCATAGGAGTTTTAAAGCGCCAGTCGCGATTACAGGTCTGTTTAGATGGGGTAATCATCATAACATTGTTAGATTTTGCTGTTTTTGTATAAATTGCCAAGAGGTGGTTATATTGTAAATGTGCAGTTTCATATTTATATTTAGCGTAAATTCTTCTACGTGAAATCTCGGTATTGATGTTGTTATTTGCCTTGAGCTAATATTTTCTTAATTTTGAAGCATCTGTTGGGTCTAGCATTGTTCCTTAAAATGCTTGTTCTCATCAGTTGTTTAAGTAGTGGTATCAAGTGCCTTTTTGTCCAGAATATTTTTGCTTGTTTTACGTCATTATTCATCATTTCTTTATGATGCCGTGGAGCAGATAAGTTTTGAATTCTCTGGATTCTTCATTTATCCAGTCTTTATTTTGATTTCCTTTATGCGTTGCTTAATTTTATTGAAAGGGCAGAATTGTTTTTAAAAGGCATTGGCAACCTTGTAGGTCCCTAATTTTGAATTAATTTTACATACCTGCTTCTTAGTCACTAAGTATATTGTGTAAATTGCATGCAACATTTGCATATTGCAAAATTGTCTTCAAATTTACTTCTATTGTTTTTTTTCTTGTTGCTTCATTTCTATTATTTCCTGTTATTAATTTTAAAAACATTTCATATGTATTTATGTTTCTTCTTTTGCGGCAACAGTAAACTTTTATGCTCCTTAGTTCTGCTCAAATGGGGATATTAGGCTATATGTATGATTAACAGTTTGCATCTCTGTCTTTGGGGCGTAGAACATTAAGAAGTTCTGCAAAATGAGTTCACTTGAGAGGTAGCTAGCTGTTTAGGAAGATTACTCGACAAAGTAGGTCTTGAAAGTTATTTTAAGGTTTTTGGGCTTCTTCTCTTAAGTTCAATTTTTGTGAGGATCAGCGCGCTGAGTATTTGACATGGCAGGGAGCGGGTGCAGGATAACATCAGTTTTATTAAATGACTGTGTTTTGGGGTCGATTTTCACGGAACCGTTGATTTTTGGGGGTTTATTTTGGAAACTGCTATGGGACTACGTTTGGTTCAGGTACAACCTGGTTTTGGCTGTGAGAGGACAGTAGGACATTATTCGGGGCTTTGGCTCTAAGAATGGAGGGTGGTGTCAGTGTTATCGGGATGTTTGGCGAGTTGTTAATTTCCGTTTTTTCGTATTGATCTGCTGCGTAGCAGTCGTGAAACGGCCTGATGAAGTCCTCGTTACAAAATCTCGCTTTTTTTGGGGGGTCTTTTAGCTAAACCTGAGTTATCGTTTTTGTAATAGTTATTGCATGTTAACGAAAAGTTACGGCCTTCCCAATATCTCTGCTTTCTCATGAGGAAAGACATAGGCAAGACTTGCTTTCTCTCGCCGTAGTAGTTGCAAAGTCTTGCTGGACAAGCCACACGAACCGCAAAGATTAGAAGGAGACAAAAGTGTCAAAAGAACTATTGAGGAGTCATCAAATTTTGTTATGCTGGTGAACTGCAACACAGTGACGTGTGCTTGTTTAGTAACAGACATCACTTTCTTTTAAAAACAGGACAATTTATTTCTCCAATAGATAAAAAAAGCGAATCGAACATGTACTAAAGGGGATTCAGTATGGTAAGATGTTAAGAATAAAAAAAATGGATATTTTTTTGCTACAGAGGTGAAATACACTGACACAATGTAGAACCTGAATTGTTGCATTACCCAAAATAAGTGAACATACTCGCATCCACAGCTATTCGACACGCAAAGAACCTATTTTCACAGAAATGTAGAAAGGGAATCTGGAGCCTTCACAATGTGTTCAGTAGAAAGTCAGTATAATAAATACAATAAAATTGCTGAAGGAGCTTGTTACAGTTGTTAGAAAAACAGGTTTTCATAGGATATTTAGCACAACCTTAGCTCAATGGCCTCCAGCTTTTTTTGCTAGAGCTATCAAGCCCTCGGTGGAGTGTGATTTAGGTCTTTCAATTGGAAGACCCATTGCACGAGACCAAATTAGCTGTGAAAGTACACCCAGCGCTCGAGAAACGCCAAATAAGACAGTATAGTATGCCATTTCAGTCATTCCATAATATTGCAGAAGTACACCCGAATGAGCATCAACGTTTGGCCATGGATTTTTAGCCTGAAATAAAGTATTCAATGGCTTTGTTGACCAAAATAACGTTGCTAGAACTTGTGACGAAAAATGTGACAGCAATAAGCTTCTTGAGACATACTTTGCCTTGTTTGATGAGGATATCCGGTGTTACTTTGTATAAATCAGAAACAAGTTTGAAAACTTTGTCATTTGGCAGATGTTTCAGAGCAAATTCGCGTTGACACGTGTAGCGAGGATCAGTTTTACGAAGAACTGCATGTCCATAACCGGGGACTACCTGAAATTCGTTTGCTTCATTATACATTTACTGTCAAGTCAGGAAACTTATAACTTTTTCTTTCTTTTTTAAATAAAGTTTTTTTGGAAAATTTTTACCTGTCCACTTTTAAGCAAATTCCAAATGAAATCGCTCAAATCTTTCTCTGTGTAATTGTCGCCGATTTGTTTTCGTATTTTTGTTAAGAAAATTAACACCTATAACTCCATCTTTGTCAATATTAACTATCAGCGCAAGATGAAGGCAATAAATATTAAATGTTTTGAAGAAAATTGATAAGAGGAATTTGGGAATTTACTTGTAGATTGTCCAAACTCTTATTTCATTTCTATGAAACCCTAATAAGTTAAACTAACTTCTTGGTTAGCCAAACCATGTAATGGTCCAGCAAGACCAGCCATTGAAGCTGAGAAGGACAAGTACGGGTCAGAAAGCGCAGAAGCTACCAGGTGACAAGTGTGGGCCGAAACATTTCCTCCTTCATGATCACAGTGGATGGTCAAATACAATCGCATCAGTTCCGTAAACATCGGATCCTCATACCCCAACATATTGCAGAAGTTTGCAGACCAATCCTTGTTCATATCGATGCTACCAATTGGTGACCCTACAAAAAAAAAATAATTCCGCAACTTTTCCTCAAACAGTGATGAAGTGGCGAACACGGAAAAAAATTTTTTTTCACATTTTTCCGATATC